ATGATTAAAAAGATTTTTTATAACTTTGTTCCTTAAATTTGTGATGGAACCATAATGAAGAAAATTTCCAGTCTCGGATCACGGACTAAATTCGCTACAGTGAAATTTTAAATATTCACTTCCAGGTTTTCCTTTTGTGGCGGCATCATATATTAAAGAAACAAATGACAAAACTTTTGTTCTTAATAGTAAAAATAAATCAAATTTATTCATAAAAATTTATTTCAAAAGATAAAATAGTTAAGATTTTAAATAGTATAAGTGTGAAAATCTTTCAATAAAATGCAAAACTTTTAAAATCTACGCGACACTTTAGTCATCAAAGGTTCTTTCATAGGCAATGTGATAGACTTTTGAAATTCCGGTGGAGATTTTTGGCCAGGAACTAGTTCAATCTTAAATTCTATGCGCATCATCGACACAAGAATTATTGCTCCAACGGTTGCGAAATGTTGCCCCAACCTCTTTGTTAAAAAGGTTAATTAAAGAAAAAAAAAAGACAGTACACTTAAACATTTTACCAGGTTCTAGGTCCAGCATGAAACGCAATAAACTTAAATGGATTTGGTTTCGACATATCTTCAGAACTTAAAAATCTTTCAGGTTTAAAGACTTCTGCATCTTCACCCCAGATCTTTTTATCTCTTCCCATCGCCCAAGGAATATATACTATAAATTCGTTGGCACACACAGGAATACCATTTGGTAGGATGTTATCTTTAACACAAATCTTCCCGAAAAACAAAATTTAGAATTAAATATGATATTTTACAAAGTTTAATAAAAAAAATTTTATCACACTTTATGAATTTACCTTGCCATTTTTTGGAACACTAGGATATAATCGCAAGGTTTCATAAAATGTTGCGTTTGTATATTTAAATCGTTTGACATCATGATATGATGGAATTGGAGTTTCTGGCGAAAAAATAGAATTGATTTCTTTTAATAAAGCGTCTTCAACAGATGGCTCTGTCATTATAGAATACATCATCCAAGACAGTGCCTATTATCAAATCTTGATGTTAGTATGCATAGCATGATAATTTTTTAAAGTTATATATATAATAATTGAACAAATATTACTTGTGCCGTAGTATCCCGACCTAAATAACAAAAAAAGCATTAGAAAAATCCAAAAATAACAAAGCATTCAATGAGATCCTCATCGAAACATACCAGCAATAACAAGATTCAAAATGATGTCTCTTAATTCTTTATCACTAAGTTTCTTTCCATCTTCATCAACAGCATTAATAAACAAGGTTAAAAAATCATTTGTTTTTTTTCCAACTTCAATGTCTGTTCTATGATTTTTCATTATATTATATATATAATTATCCATATTTTTGCAAGTTTCACGCATTTGTCTGCCTCTTTCGCTATACAATTCAATATATTTCCATAAAGGTTGTTCCCATCGCCAATCTATAGCTCTTTGAACATTATCAAAATCCATGGCAAACTGGACTGGTTTTTCAGGGGAGGTTAAACAACCAAAGTCTACACTGAAGAAGACGCTTTTCATGTGTATATATGTAATCATATTATGTAATTATATTTATGATAAAAAGACGATTAACATAAAAATTTTTATAAAAGTTAATTATTGAAAACATTAATGAAAAACTTACTCTCCTAAAGTATCTAGGGTGAATCTATAAAACAAATCTTGTAAGTCGATTGGTTTTCCGCTATCGGCACATTTCTGTAAAATGTTTAATACAATTCTAGACTTTTCTATCATACTTTTAGATATAAGGTCTTCGAAATGTCTTTCTTGAAATAAGTGACTTAATAATTTTCTTTGAAATTTCCACTTATGTCTTTCGTAAAAAAATGAAAAGCTTAATTACTTTGTTTAATTATATAGATAAGATAAATTTAAATATATAGCCAACTTCTTCTAAGTAAACTTGCGGAGACTTTAAAAAAAAATTTTAAGATAAAGATTTCCGATAATCCAGTTATTGTCAAGCGATATAATCATGTAAAATTTTTTTGCTTTGATATTTTTGTAATAAAATAGCATCATCATTTATGCAAAATGTCACGACAAAAAATTTCACATGCTAATATAATATGAACAATAATATCGATATTGACATACGAAAATAACAGTAAATTTTTCATTGTATGCCCGATATTTTATAAATATCGGCTTAACCAGAGACATTTGCATATTACAGCTGTTTTCATAAATTCTGGGACACCTAAAAATTTTCTTGTTCTCTAAATTTTCGGAAACCACATCGCTGTCTCCATAGTGAAGTCTCAAGGTCAGCAAAGTAGTTTCCGAAAAGTTAAGTGATTCTTAGAACAGGGTCGAAAAGGTTTCGGGAAACAAGAAAATTTTTAGGTGTCCCAGAATTTATGAAAACAGCTGTAAATATATATTCAAAATTTAAAAAACGTCGTTATATCCAGATGTCGTTATAACCAGAGTGATGTGTACAAATCCTGAACTCAAAGAGCATTTAGGGAAAGTTTTATTAGGGTTGCATTTAGAGGTAGTTCACTTAGAAAAAATCGAATGTATATTGAATAAATTTGGTAAACAAACCCATCAACAGCGAATATTCCATCGCCGAATAGATCATACATTAATTCATGTAAAATGTCACCTTTTTCAAAGTATTCAAAGTTCGCTAATAATAGACAGACAATTAATAAAATGCTTTTCTAACTGTTCATTTTTAATATTCAGTTTAACGTGAAAGCACACTTTTGAGCATATGTTCTAATAATTGTGGATCATTAATCATAATAAATCGGCCTTTTTTTGGGAGAGTAAACGTACTATTTTACAAGAAACAAAGGTTATTATCATAAATAATTCTGTTCATGAAATTTAAATATATATAACTTTTCTAGAAGTAAATATAAAACTTACAAGACGGGACCATACTTGTCGATCAGATCAAGAACATAATAAATATATCCTTTACTTCTTATCAATGAAATAAAATTTCCGATAATTGGAAAGCCTCGAGGACCCTTAAGCTCTGGCCTTGCCTTTACACCTATAGCACGATCAGGATACTTTATTACAAGATAGATGATATAACTTACAAGAGTAAGTAATATTATAGTGAAAATGTTGATTGCGATAGTCATGATGAGATTGTTATTATCATGCATGTTTTTGTTTTGTTTTAACATATGAAATATGCGGAATCATGCGGACCCAAAAATTTTTAGGGAATTTACAAATAAGGGCCCGGAAAGTGAAAATATATATGAAGGTCTAATTTTTAAAAAATATTACATATAGTAGGGATGTTAAGTGGTCCACGGGGAACGGGTTTGGACCACCAGTTCTGATATCACATGATATGAATAGTCATTTTTGACACATCGAATAGATTTAATATGGTATGAATCATGAACATCGCCTTTTAATTAGCCATAATGAAATTTGGCGCTTCGCTTTAAAATTCACTACGTAGGATTATTAATGCATCAATTGGTAGGCTTAAACCAAATTAGTAAATGCTTCATTGTTTTTTTTACTCCATATAGAGTTTCAAAAGTATATTAAATTACTAGGGTAGAATCGATTTTTAACTAATTTTTGACAGGGGGTGGGACCAGACTTTTAGACGCACCACTTAACATCCCTACATATCGATATAAGAGCCCAAATCTATTGATGGCTGAAACACGGGATTACTGCGCCACTAAGTACTATGACCATTTGACTTGTAACGATTGCAAAATCACGATTATAGGATTATCGATTGTTTATTGTACTGTAGATATTTAAGTTATTTATATACCGATTATTAGATAAAAAGATAAATGAAGCGTTGGTTATAATTATATTTGTTTATTGCGGTTTGCATAATTTTGTGACCCCCTATGATTACAGGATTACTTTTTTTAATGATTAAATGATTGTAATTGCGATCGCGATTGCTAAAGCCGGCCAACTTATCATAAATCTGAGTTTGATACAAACTTGGATTTATGATAAATTGGCCGGCTTTAACAATTGCGATCGCAATCACAATCATTAATCATTAAAAAAAAATTAATTCCGTAGTCATAGGGTCACAAAATTATGCAAACCGCAATAAATATTGTACAAAAAAATAGCGTTAAACTAGCACAATTATTTACAAGAAGTTAACGAACATTTTCCATATTAAAATGTCATGCCAATTCGCAGTATTTTACTTGACAACACAGTGGTTTGTTATAACAATAAGCAACTTCATAAAAAAGAAATGGAGTTTATTGAATTTAAAATTTTTCTCATTTATAATTACTAATTTACAATCGATTGTTACATTTTTTGTGCGCTTAATAACTATGCTTACATTTCTTATGCTAATAACGATCAAGCCACAGCTTAAATAACGTCGCATTATTTTGGGCCCTTATATGTAATATTTTTGCTTTGCTTGAATGTGTGCCAGGTTTGTGGTGCAGCAAAAATTCTTCAAGGTTCGTTTATGTTAGGGTTAGGGTTCGGGTTAGGGTTAGAAGGGGTGTTAATATAGTAAAATTGTCTAGCGAAAACTTTTTGTTAAAGCACTAAAGGTGGTTTCCTACGCAGATTTTTAAGAAATAGACGTACTTCCTGATCGTGTTACGTTACACCTGATCTTGAAATCTGATTCGTAGTTCAGGACATCTGCGCCACAAGCAGGTACACATTCAAGGGGGTGCAATATTTTTTAAAAATTAGGCCCTTATATGTAATTATTTTTAATTTGGGTCATTATTTGTAAATTTCCCAAATAAAATTACAGAAAAATTTTTCTATGCGTAGAAATTTTTATTCTAATTAATTTTATGACTTTTAAGATACGATCCGAATGCAAAATATGCCGTGGAACCAAACTTCTAAGTCACCCTATCTCCGTCAATGACCCAAATGAATGACCTTAGAAGGTCATTTAACATATTTTAACCAATCAGAATTGGCCGCCAAGCAAAATTAAATTTTATAAAAATCAAGCTATATATCAAAACCAAAATATTACTAAATCAATTAATATTTATGCCTTAAGTAACGTTGTTCGGGATAATAAATTGCATATGTTCTGAAATTTTTATTTTTATATACATTTAATAACTTTTTATTAATTCACTTCCGCACCTTACATTTATAAAATTTATGTAAACGTAATATGCGAAAGTAAATTAATAAAAAAGTATTCTATTTACATGAAATTTTCAAATACACGCAATTTATTATCCCGAACAACTTTACTTAAGGCATAAATATTAATTGACTTAGTAAAATTTTAATTTTAATATATAGCTACGATTATCGATTAGAAAAGTAATAAAATTCGATAACTTTTTATATAAGTAATTCAACCAATAAAATTACTTTATATGCAAATACCTAAATGACCTTAATGACCCAAATACCTGGTCATTATTTGATGACTTGGGGTCATTTAAATTTTGATCAAATGACCAGGTCATTTACCATTCCTGATCTCCGTAGTCTTGCGTCAAAATCATTTACACAAAGTTGATCGTAAAGAATTGTCGATTAACTTTAATGTTATAGAGGAAACCCGCGTGTGACGATCTGAAAGGAATTTTATAATTATCACGTGCAGATTTCCTTTTCAATATTAAATTTTGTCACTAAAGTAATATCATAATTAACAAGATATAATTGATTTTGAAGGTAAAGTTAAGAAGACCCGTAAAATAAAAATTGCATGGTATTAGCATATAATACGTTTGTATTTAAGCTTAGGAAATGGGTTAATATTTGGAGTAAATGTGCAAAAGTAAATCTCTAAAAATTTTAGCGTACAAATATGTACGCTATACAGTTTAAATATTCTTGCAATATATTTGTCTCCTAATTAATGAATTTCTATTTTGTCTTCTGATTAATAAACCTTTAGAGCATCATTCAAGCACTTAAAATTATTGTTATCGGACCAATTGTTGTCGATTTTGTAATCCTGCTTTGATTATCTGCCCTAATCGAATAAAATCGAAGCCTGATTTTTCCCTTAGCATTACTTATGATTTCCTAACATAATAGTAGACTAAATTCGAATTTATGGTCTTGAATAAAGATTCAATTATATTTAATTTTATCAGAGTTTTTTTTTTAACTGATTAAATATAAATACAATAATAAAAAGAAATAAAATATAAACAAAGTAACATCAATCCAAACTACTTTAATAAAATGGTACAATTTTTATATCCAGCCGTCGCAATTTATCAATAATATCCAATTTCTCATGATGACAATGTGATTGATCTTGAAAATCTTCCAAGCCCACCTTCCTTAGAGTAGTACACCTATTTGCAAATCTAACTAAACAATCAAGATCATTTAAACTAATATTATGAAAAGAAATGTAAAGAGATTCTAATGAAACATTACAATTAATCAAGAAATCATTTAAAATTTTAGCAGAGTTGTAAGTGTAACCGAATTTAAAAGAACGTAATGAATGAGGAAGATTTTCACCAAATAATTGAAAATTATAACCTTCAACATCAGACAAGACATGTATATAAAGAGATTCTAAAATTTTCATCTTGGAGAGACATGCTGAAATGATATTAAATTCTACTTGAGAAGAATCTATTGAAAATTCAATATTGATAATGTTAGGGCAATTATTCTTAATCATCCGAATTATTTGAGAAGTTGTTAAAGAACCAGTAGAGAAAGTTTTAAGGTTAACACCAATTTTCGAAATCAATTTAGCATCAATATCTTTATCCCAATTATTATAACCCAAAATTAACTCATTAATGAAGAAAGGTTTGAGAGGTAAAGAATTAAAATCTACTAGTTCTAAATTATCACATTTGATAAGCTCTAATTTTTTTAATAATCTAAAATTAGAAAATAAAGTTAATGGGGATTCCGAAAAGTAAAAATTGGAAAATTTTAATGAATTTAGGCATTCTAAATTAAGAGATGTTAATTCAGAAATAATTATTCCGCCGTATTTTTTGAAAGATAAGAAATCAAGGTCTTCAATTTTTGGTTGAGCTTTAATGATATTAATTATTATTTGTGGATAATCACTTATATGAGGTTTAAGTTCATGAAATACTAATTTACGAATGTTGGAACATATTGAAGGAACGTATTTTAAAAAAGCTATAGAATTTTTCGACATGAGAGGATTTAAATATAATTTTCTTATATGAGAAAATGTAGAACTTGAATTCAAAAAAATTTGAGCGTTATCAGGAACATCAGCATAATGTACATTTTCGCGACCTACAGAACCTAGTCCTAGATAATTAACTTTTACACAACTACGCATCAACATACGCCAGAAAGTACTTGTTAATTGACGAATTCTATAATAATCTTCAGTTTGACTATGACCATATATAAAATTTACACCTTCAGTGACGTGAATAAAATATTTTGGAGAATCTTCTTTGTAGAGGAAATAGACTATAGCTCTATCGATGAAAAAAGAATCTAATTCAGCTAAGTAACTTGAATATAAGAACATTGGTCGTTTATAGTTCTGCAAATTAATATTAAATGGAATCAAAGAACTTTGTTCTTCATGGTTGAGACATAAGAGATAAGTACTTAATAAACTTGAATATCGTTCGATTGGAATATAAAAAGGTTGCCTCCAAAGCAAGCGAACAACTCGTTGACACCAAAAATGGTTTATAAAAAGGCAATTATATAAAGATCCTCGTTCATCTTGAAGATATTCCAGAATATCAATTATTGTGTCATCTGGCAAAGGTGGAATCACCATATCTTTCTACCACGACTATCGTCGACAAAAGATGTCAAAAAAAAAACCAATATTTTCATTTATGCTTGAATGCACCATTCGTCACACACATGTGACGTATGCCAATTATTCTTGTTATATTATTGTTTATCGACACAGAATTTAGAATAATAAAGCTCTTTATATTATGTAATTCTGCTGCGTCAGTTTGTTTACCCAAAGAATTATGAAGGCTAAAAAGTTATGCCGAAAATATTATACCCCCAAAGTTTTAACGATAGAAACTATTCGGTTGAGGTATATACGTAATCCTGGATTATGTAACGTAATCTAAACTTTAATAAAATGTTTATTCATTTTAGTATGAACTATATGTATTCCATAAAAGTCGTTTAGTCTCACGGTGACACAAAACATCAATAAATTGAGTTTAATCGACTTTTACAAAAATATGTAGTTCTACCACATGCTTACTAAATATTTACTAGTAATAAAACGGCGACGTTTTATAGGGCTGGAGCCTTCCTTGTTAGGTGCTTAAATTTCAAAATAAAATTTT